TATTTCCTATATTGACAAACACGAGTACAGAAATAGTAAATCCACGAACACGACTGAAGGAAACTCCACTCATGGTTTCACAATTCTTGGCAAAAAAATTTCTCTAACTTCATTAGAAATGGTTCTCTCTTCCCATTAGACTCCTTTGAGCACAAGTGTTAAACCACATCAGGGTTAAGTCTCCCTAACTTGTATAGAAAATTCTTAGAAGCTGAGCTCCTTTCTATTACTTCTGAGGTTTTCTGTAGGAAGAAAGTGCCTTGATCATTTGTTATTCAGTTAGACACCTCAAGAAAAAGGGGGAAAAGCGTAAGTAAACATTTTTAATCAAAAAGTATTTACAATACCTTGTGTTCTTCCACTGGAGCAGAATTGACAATTGTTCCTTTAGAAAGGGACTGAAGAATCTGTGAAGTTTTAACTAAAGGAAAAGAAGATTAAGTTCTAGCACCTCCCTCTTTTTAGCCCCACCCTAGATTCTCTTTCACAAGCCAATACACTCTTCAGGTTTATCTTGGCCAAAAATTCAAATAAAATAACAGGAGGACAGTTGGCTTTTTGCCTGAATTATTTAATTACTCATATTTTCTGTGTCTGCCAGCATGTGGAGACCTGCATTCTGACAAATTGTAACTCACACTTTCCTTCGTTAATCCTTTCTCTCAATTTAACTCATGCTTTCCTTGCTAACATCTTCTCTGCTTTGCCAACTCACAACAATTTGCATGGTCTTCCCTGGTAGCTTTTTAAAAAGAGAAATGGAAAGCTTCAAATTAGTAAAATAGTAGTAGGCAATGAAATGGAAATTTCATTGAAAGGTGAATTATCTTTTCTTTTTTTCAACTTTTATTTAATAAATATAAATTGCCAAAGTATCTGTTCTTTACCTGTTAAAGTGCTTGGAGCACGACTGTAAGGAGCACCCAGGAGTTTTCACTATTCTCATGCGAGTTGCTGGTGGAGAACTCACACTATACTTCAATGACCAGGATGTCGGTCCTCCCCATCAGCAAGGATATGGGATTTAGATGAACATATTCGAGATAGTCATTGAATAGAATGCAGATTTATTATTTTCTGGTTCTTTTATTTTCCCCTATGAACTTTCCTTAGCTTATCTTTATTAATTAAAAAGGAAATATAATAGGTCAATTATTTGACTTGCATGTGCTTGAAATGAGGGGAGTAAAAGTAGGAAGAAGGAGGAAGGAGGGAAAATACAGAGGGGATGAAAGCAAAGGGGATTTCTCCATGCTGTTCCATTTTTCCTCCTCATATGAGCACATGTATCTTTTGGGAGACTGCTTCAGAGTTTAATACTTGAATGTTGGTGCAGAACTCAGAGTGCAATGTTATTCTAGACTTGGTTAGACCTCTGGTAGGAAATTCTATGGTGTCTGCCACTCACAGGCTGGGCAGATATTGTTATCTGCGGATGCCTCCATAGCTATTCTTAGCTGGAAGTGCCATATGGAGGCTCCTGATAGAAAGAATGCTTTCCTAGAATGATGGCATTTGCCAGATAGTGGCTTGGGATGTGACACTGCACAGCATGAAGTCCTGTTCTAGTTGCCTATGGTACTTTAAAGCATCAATATATACTCTCTTGAATCATCCAAGAAACTGTCTCATTCTCTTTAAGGTCATAGACTAAGCTTTACACATTTCTTTTTCCAAAACCTTCTTTAGATTCCTTTCCCACCTGCCTACTGATGAAAAGCACTATATGCAGGTATACTGCCTATATAAATAACGTCATAGGTATGCATTATTTTTCTGCCAAAGTGAAATAAGTACTCATGTCTTAAGTGAATGAAATAGTATTGTTAGCATAATTTTGTTCATTTGTTGCTAATTTTGGCCTGCCAGGTATATAATGGCAATATGTACAAACAATACTAGTAGAAATGGAGGAATAGTAACTAAATAAATAAGGAATAGGAGTGGGAGGGAAAATTTTTCTGTATTTTTTTTATGATATTGATGTTTGGGCAGTGTGATTTTATTAGGCATTCAACAAACTTGAGAAACAGCAAGAAGAGTTCCAGGTACATTAAAATTATTCTAGTAGGAATAGAGAAGAGAATAAATAGAAATGGAACAGAAGCAAATTGAGTAGATAAGAGCTATCTTAGTCCATTTAGGCTGCTGTAACAGTGTACCATTCACTGGGGCTGGTACTGTGACAGAACAGATGAAGCCATCTCTCATTGGAGTACCAGTTCAAGTCCCAGCTACCTGATTCTGATCCAGCCTCCTTCTAACTCACTCGAGAATACGGAGAAAGATGACCAAAATGCTTGGATCCCCGACACTCACATGGGAGAGCTAGATGGAGTTCCTGTATCCTGGCTTCAGTCAGGCCCAGCCACAGCTGTTGTAGCCATTTGGGGAGTAAATCAGCAGATTCTCTCTCTCTCTCCTTCTCTCTCTCTCTCTCTCTCTCTCTCTCTCTCAAAAAAAATGTATATATAAATCTTAAAAAGACATTCACTGGGTGACTGAAATGAAAATTTATTCTCACAGTTCTGGACAGTGGAAGTCTGAGATCAAGGAACCAGCGTGGTTGGGTTTTAGTGAGGACCTTCTTGCTGATTCACAGATGGCTGCCTTGTTGTATCTTCACGTGGCAGACAGAAAAAGCTCCAGTCCTTTCACGTCCTTAAAACGGCTCTAATCCTGTCATGAGGTTCCACCCTAGCAACGTTATCTAACTTTGAGAATCTTCTGAAAACCCCTCCTGCAAACGCCATCGATTTGAGTATTTTTCATTACATGGGTTTGTGAGTAGGGGAACAAATGTTGAATCCGTACCAGTGACTGACAGTTTCCCAGAACTGAAGCAAAATGCCAGTCTACAGATGGAAAAATTGGGGGTAGAATTGAACAGTATAATTTTTTTAAAGAATATATTCTTAGAATTGTATCTATGGGCCGGCGCCGCGGCTCACTAGGCTAATCCTCCGCCTAGTGGCGCTGGCACACCGGGTTCTAGTCCCGGTCAGGGCGCCGGATTCTGTCCCGGTTGCCCCTCTTCCAGGCCAGCTCTCTGCTGTGGCCAGGGAGTGCAGTGGAGGATGGCCCAAGTGCTTGGGCCCTGCACCCCATGGGAGACCAGGAAAAGCACCTGGCTCCTGGTTCCTGCCATCGGATCAGCGCGGTGCGCCGGCCGCAGTGCGCCGGCCGCGGCGGCCATTGGAGGGTGAACCAACGGCAAAGGAAGACCTTTCTCTCTGTCTCTCTCTCTCACTGTCCACTCTGCCTGTCAAAAAAATAAAAAAATAAAAAAAAATTAAAAAAAAATAGAATTGTATCTATGAACTATATTGAATTTGCTAAAAACTAAAAAAAAAGAATAAAAAGGTAAAATAGAAGTTTCATGTGTAGAAAAAAAATTGGAAGCAAAATCTTTAGTAAATAACAAAAACAAAAATTGTTAAAAATTCAAGGTGCAAGAATTATCTTGACATCAACTTTCTCATCAATAACATTGAATGACAAAAATTTATAAAATCTTACCTTCAAAGTGCTTAGTGCTTTTGAATCTAGAATTCTATACCCATAATTGAACTCAATAATGAGAGTGAAATATGAATTTCTTTGAAGATTTATTTATTTGAAAGTCAGAGCTACAGAGAGGAGAGACAGAGAGAAAGAGAGAGAGAGAGAGAGGTCTTCCATCCAATGGTTCACTCCCTAGTTGGCCACAACGGCCAGAGCTGCGCCAATCCGAAGCCAGGAGCCAGAAGCCTCTTCTAGGTCTCCCACGCAGGTTCAGGGGCCCAAGGACTTGGGCCATCTTCCACTGCTTTCCCAGGCCATTGCAGAGAGCTAGATCAGAAGTGGAGCAGCCAGGACTAGAACCAGCACCCATATGGGATGCTGGCACTTCAGGCCAGGGCATTAACCGCTGTGCCACAGCGCTGACACTGAAATATGAATTTTTTAACACTCACAACTATTCAGAACGTTAACAACTACCACCTCATTGAGTGAATGATTGAAGTAAACAAAAAATGAATATTCATATAAAAGTAAATAGGACAATGCAGGAAGCGAGGCGCTTAATATCCAAGAATGCATGATTAGAGGAATTAACACTATGATTCGAGTTTTTAAAAACTAATTGAATAATTTTCTCAGATTCTAAGCATATGTTTGACTAGCTGACAGCTTAATTAATGACAAAGAAAATAATTATCATATATTTGTTAAATAATGTGTACATATCATGCAATCACTAATTGCATTTAATCATCATATCAATCTTATGAAGAAATGTTTACACTGAAACAAAACCGAAGCAAAGAAAAGGACCAGAGTTAGCTCCTGGCTAGAACACATCCAAATGTTAGAACCAGGATTTGGGTGTGGATAGGTAACATCCTGAGACTACTTCTCCAGCCACCACATTCTACAGGGCCAATCACCCCTGAGTTCCAGAGGTAGTGCTGTGCCTGGTGTCCACTTCCAGGATCTAGCTACACTCTGCAGTCAGACTCTGCTCCCCGTCCAGGCTCCCCACCCTATGACTTGCCATAATTCTCTGGTCTGAAATGATGTTCTTCTTTGGCTCTGTTCCATTCCAAAGCTTTCAGTGCTTTGAAACAAACACCTTTAACAGGAACCAGCTTAAGTTTCCCCTCCTGTCCTTGTACCCAGTCCATCTCTGCTTCTCTGAATTCTCAGATCAATGGCTACAACCTTGTTTCTGTGTCTGGACCAATGAACTTGGAAGTTTGGAAACTGGTTTCTCCAAAGAACTGTGACCTCAACTGTTCTGAATTACTAGGCCTTTGACTATTTTGGAAAAAAAGCTCCAGCCCGTTTTTCTCACAAGCCCATCCCATTCAACCTCAACACTGGATCTTCTGGTAAGAGGGGTAGTTGTCCTCTTGGCTCCTTTATTCTGTCTTGTTTTTTGGGAAGGGAGTTGCCACAAATGGTCTATGACGTGAAACTCCTGGGAATCAAAATATAACAGGTCTTATGACCAACAGTTTTATGGAAACATGTTCATTTATTGTATATTTGTAATTTTACATGAGTTACAAAAACAATATGTAATGCTAGTAATGGACATAACATATTTGCATGTTGTTCAAGCCCTTTCTTCAAGATATTTATTACAGAGGGTATGGAGAAACACCTACTCGTTCATTACAAAAACAAATAAATGTATTTCTTTAGAGAGAAAATTAACTGATCACTTGCTTGTGTAACTATTAGTTACATTGAATAGGTAGTTAATAATTTTAAAAACCCATTATTATATAAAATAATAAATAACAAAAGAAAAGTTAATGCTATAAAATAAAGGAAGAGTAAGAAAGAATAAAATGGACATCATCTTATTCAGGGGATCAAATGATTAGTAGAGGAATCATATTATGGTTGACAGGTGTCTATTTTTGCTTTTATATTTAGTATGTTGAAATTTTTTCAGAAAAACAGAAACATAGAAAAAGTCTCTAAATTTTTGGCACTTGAGATAGCAATTCTGAGGCTTATAGCTCATGCTACAAAATACCGTGTAGAAATGGAGGCTTTCAATTTGAGGGTGAGGAGAATCTGCCCAAAAACAGGATGCTCTTGGCTACTTTGTGCGTGATCAGGAAAAGGAAAGGATGATCTGCCACAAACTGAGGGCCCCCATGACCAGTTCTCCCTGTCATAGTGCCCCCAGTGCCAGCAGTGGCTTCAGTGCCCTCCTCATTAACATCCACTGTTGCTTGATGGAACACTTCAGAGAGAAACAGATCATCTTTTTCCGACATTCCTTGGAAATTGGCCTGGCCCTTGTTGAAGGCATCCTCCATGCCCATGCTTCTCAGAATGGATTTGAGTTCATAACGCTCTTCTAATTTGAACTGGGGGAGATATACTTCAACATCATCTTCAGCCATTGTGTCTTTGCTGGTCCATTTTTGCAGTTTGTCATAGGTGATTGCACTTTCCAACTGCAAAGCAAAGCAAAAGTCAAAGTTGGTGTTAGAAATCTAATGTTAAAAATCATAGACTTTATTGTGGGTAATATAAAAATTTAATAGAGTGGCCAAATTTTTGCAAGAAGTTAACATGTATGATGTATCCTTAATGAAATTTTGAGATATGCCACATTTACTATTCACTGAATAACATTTCTGTAGGAAAGCATAGAGTATTTTCTAAGATGTAGATGTTCATCTCTTGAATGATATGTTTGAAACAGTTGAAGTGGGAATGCCTTACCAGCTCCAACCCAGTGCTAGCATCAGCAAATTCGTCTGGAAGCAACAGGAACATGCTGACATTTCCAGCATATGGGAGCTCAAGAATCTGAGCCTTTAGGTCTTGTATGTATCCAATGTTCAGCTTTTCACGCAAGTACATCATTTGTACAGGTTTTCTCTCAGTCTGAAATCATTAAAAAGTAAAATATGAAAGTCAAGTCTAAGAGGTCAAGAGATTTGCAATGGGGCCAGCTCTGTGATACAGCGGGCTAAGCCTCCTCCTGCAGCAGGAGCAACCCATTTGGCGGCTGGTTCCAGTCCCAGCTGCTCCACTTCTGATCTAGCTACTGGCTAATGCACCTGGGAAGGCAGCAGAAAATGGCCCAAGTGTTTGAGCCCCTGCCACTTATGAGGGAAGACCCAGATGAGGCATTTTGTTTGCTCCTGGCTTTGGCTTGGCCCAGACCTGGCTGCTGTGAACATTTCGGAAGTGACCCAGCAAATGGAAGTTTCTCTCTCTCTCTCTGCCTTTCAAATAAACAGGTAAATCTTTTTTAAAAGAAAGATATTTACAACTATACAATAAATAGATTCAGAATTAGTGTTGAAGAAATGTATTTTTTAAATCAACAAATTAAATTATTTGTATACCCTTATAGAGGGTACTCTGTCTTAATAGCCTTTTCAAGCTTATATCCTTTGTTTAGTAACACACCACAATAACAAGAACAACACAAAAACATTTGTTCAGTACCAGTCATGGGCCAAGAGCTTATAAATCTCACTGAATGCTTGCAAGAAATTTTTGAATTGGACATTAGCTTAGTTTTGTAGAAAAGACGTGGAATGCATGGAAGATGAGTTAGGTCTTAGCAGATAAGTGACATATCCAATATTTGAGTCCAGGCACCCATCAATATAAAGCCTGTGGTCTTCAGCTCTACTCACACAGCCTTTTGGGAAACCATTGAATGCTACTTGGTAGCTTGAAAGTCAATGCCTAGCACATATAACTTGTGACCTAGCAAGTCATCTGGAAGTATCAGTAAATGAGCTCTAATTTTTTGTTCCCATCTTGTCTAAGGTCCTAAAATATATATTTAGACAATGCATCTTCTTTTCTCATACCAAGTTCACACGGAAAGGATAAAGCCCATTCAGCTTCTTCTCAAAGGGAGTTTTCCACTTTCCTTTGAAGTAGACAGCATTCACCAGGACCATCCTGGTCTCTCCATCTATAGAACCTTCAGGTAACAGATTTGGGATTTTGCCTGCAGAAAACATAACATCGACTGAGATTTCACATTCACAAACTATGAAGTTATGACAACTTGGATCTTTCCATTAAGCTTCATACTCGATGTCCACATTTGTCAAACCCTGCAGGGATGATGATCTTCAAGATCAAGTTTTTCTCTAGATATAGAGCTTAAGTAAAATGGGAACGCATTTCTCAGGTTTGCAAAATTCAAGAGAAAATGAAGAAAGCTTTAAATTTAGGATATCAAATTGGGAAGGGAGATTTTCATTTCCTTTTTATACTGCTTTCTCAAAGTTTTGCTGTGGTATGAACGTTATTTGAGCAGAAGGAAATGAAAGTCTCTTAAGGAGTGTAACGGTACATCACTTAGTTGTCCTAATATAGCTCATACAATCTGTGGATTTAACCAACTTTTTCATCCAAAATGAATAAATTCATCAAAATCTAAATTCTGTAAATCTTTCTTAGGTGTAGGCTAAACCTAAGCTTTTGGGCAATGAAGCTGGTTGATTTACAGCCATTCAACATTGTGTTTAAGAAAAACACAATTCACATTGTTCTTTAAAGGAAACAAAGCTCTCAAGTGTATTTTTAATTTTCTTTCCTGCTTTCACTTCACTTATGTTTATTTAATATTCACTTTTCCTGCTTTCTCTGTTTCAGTGATTTGGAAATATTTTAGATTAGTAATTTAACAACCCTTAATGGAAATGAAAAATCAAAATCAACTACTTTTAGATAAACAAAAAAAATTTTTATCATTCCAAAAACCTTAGTTTCTATTTATTTGCTACTGTGAAAACAAAAGACATGGAATTAAGATACTGAACTATTTCTTGAAATATTGTGTTATGCATAAATGTCAAATGGAAACACTTATTTCTCATTGTTATCAAAATATTTAAACATGTAATTGAAAAATTCTGGAGTTAGACTATGGATCAGAAGAAGAGGTAACCACAGTCAGTGACTGAAAAGTGGGAATCTTGCCTGAGCCAACTAACCTCTTGGGGGTGAAGAGTCCATAGTAATAACATGGTTAGGTTGGACAGATGTTGTCTAAGGATGCTTTCAACCATAACAGCTTATAAATTTTGCATCCAAATAACAACAATTTTACATCCAAAATAACATATTCCCCCCAACCTTTAGATACTAATTTCATGTAATTATCCAACATTTCTTTCAGAAACATGAAGGATTTAAATTGCTAACCACGGTCAGTGTTACCATCTGTGGGAACATAGAAGTGTGGCATACTGGCTCAACATACAGCATAATGGCTTGATCCTATGTCTGGGTGGAAAGGCAAAACAAACTAAAATAATTTTATAATAGTTTTCTATGTATGATAAACATGAACATGAGTCATGAAACTTAAGAAGTAACAGACGAATGGAAAAGAGAAATTATCAGGAAGTGAGTGGTTGGGAGACACTTCTAGGAAGAGGTGGGACTTTGATTGCTGCATAAATTAAATCCTGTAGTATTAGAGGTAGCAATGAGTATGTTGCATTTGTGGGAGTCCAAGGATCCTGCTGTAAAGTGCAGTCTTCCAGATTATTGAGAACATCAAAAGTTGAGGTGAAGCATGAGAATTTCTCTTGAGGACAATAGGACGTCGCTGAGTCTTGTTTTTAGGGTGAGAATGGCATAACAAACCAGCTACTTCACCTTTTTGGTCACCACCTTCTTAGACCAAACTCCATTAACCTAATCAAAAGATCAGTTCTTTCATTTATGGACCTTTGCATATCCTGCATACCCGGTCTGTAACACCTTCCCCAGGTACCATGGATGGCTTCTGCCCAGACAGTTTCAGTTCACCTTCCCAATCAAAACTCAAGCATTTTAAAAATTCTAGTCAAATACTTTTTTTATGTGTTCCAATGTAATACCTTGAACTGCCCCATGAAAGCACTTATCACTATGTAACAACTGCAAATTTCATTGAATGTCTTCCCAAGATGGAAAATTCTATGGTGGTAAGGGATTCCATTTATGTTTTCATCTCCACTACAGTGCCTGGGACATGGCTCAAGGTGGATGAATATTTGGTAACTGATGAATGAGTTCAACAAGAATGGATGAGTTCAACAAGAATGGATGGATCATTTAATTAAATTAAATGTGAAAATATGAAGGGAGGCAAGAACCTATGAAAAAATTAAGGGCATGAGTTAAAATGGTAGAAGAGGCTTAGAAAATCAAGGACAGATGAAGAGACAAAACAAAATACAATGTATTAACTTTGAATGGTGAAAGAGAAGAAAGAATTAGAATATTTTATGGTACTTTCCTCCTGCATTGCAAATTGCACATTTGCTCATCTTGGGCTCAAGCATGTTTTTCTTTCTATTGCTCCACAGTGGACATAGAGTCACAATTATTTCCTACATTTTGAAACATCTACCTTTCATATTCTTTTTGAAGGTAATACACAATATCAAAATATTTAAGTCCAGCGCATGCATTTTCTGTTAGTGAACCTTGGTTATTTTTTTCTCAATTAAAACACCACTCAGATAAATGAAAATAAACTTACATTAACAAAACTAAAGTTTAATAAATCATAAGGGAGTAATGGCCTAGTTCAAGGATTGTTTTAAAAGATCAGTTTTCTAAGTGGAAAGAAGGGAAGATTTAATGATTTTACCTTTGGTTTGAGTGTTGACCCAGGAATTAATTTTTTTTCTGGCTTCTTCTGCACATTCCAAGAAGTCTACTGCCTGGGGTTCTGTGGAGTAGTATTTCTTAGAAAGTTTCATGTATTCCTTTAAAGCAAGAGAGCGCCAAATGTTACAAAGAACAGATTGCAAACAAGCTATAGTGTAACTGCAAATTATGGGCTGCCCTTAAAGACTGGAGGCCTGTGGTAGGGGTTGGAGTTGGGTAGGGGTGCTGAAGGAGGAAATAGTAGAGATTACACGTTCTCCATCAACTTCCTTCCCCACACTCCAGCCCCAATTCCATCTGCCTTCTCGTATTCTTTGCATTACAGACCCTAAATTAGAGAAATTTGGCTTAGGGGATAGAAGTGCTGGAAGGCAGTTTGTTGTCCAGATTTCTAACTCTATAACTGAGACATTTATACTAGGAAGTGAACAACATACAGAAAGAACAAAAGGGACACTAGTTAGGGGAGGGCCGGCCTTGGGAAACCTGTATCAGATTCTGACTTTACTTGTACAAACTGTACAGAATTATTTTGTAAATGGCCTGATTGCTGGTTTGGGGTGCAGCCATTTCAATTACAGGTGCCACTTACGTCCTTGAACCTCGCAGACTTCTCTCCAAACAGCTTGTTGGCACTTTCCAATAGATAATCCCCTGTGGATTTGTTGATTGCAGAGCTCAGAGAGTTGAAGGAGGAATGGATTGTGTCTCTGACTTGTGCCTTAAATAGAAGGAAAGAATTATCTTTTTATGATGAAGAACTACTAAAAAAGATATTTCTTAAGCAATGACATATTTCTTCAACATAACAATAAATGCTGTATTAATGCATGCTTTTTTCTGGTTCCCTAGAAAAACCTTTGAGAAAGTGATCTTGATAAGGATGTGGAGAATTATAACTAACAATATAAGTTTTAATTTGTTCCAAATTTTACGTGTCTGTGCACTGTATTTAGCCAGGAAGTAGACAACAGTCCCAGAAGAAAGGTAAGTTCCTCTATAGTTCCTTAATTTAAGGTAACTAAGTAATTTTAGCTTATTTATAAGTTTAATAAGTATTAAGGATCTAATGTACAGGGGAGAGGATTATGGATTAAAATTCCATATTGTTTATTTGAAATTTTCAAGGAGAGTATATTTTGTGTCCTTACCACCACCTCCCATGACCAAATAACTAGTTGTGGTCATGAAGTGTTAATTAATGTTCATTAATTAATGTTAATTAGTGTTAATTAATGTTCATTCCTCAATTATTTGTCACTTCATAACCTCTCAACTTTGGAAATCCTCATCCATGAATGTGTGACCTAGGGGTGTCTGCCATGGTTTTAGAATACATTTACCCAACTAACATCAGAGGGGCGTGATAGAATTTAGGATTAGCCTTGGCCTCAAGTCATGTAGTCCAGATTCCCCTGGCTCTTCCGTCTGTTAGCGGTATGACCTTAGGATATTTACTTAATGACACAGAATCGTAGTTTTCTTTCTGTGAATGGGAAAGTGGTACTAGGTTCCTTTCCAGTCTAACACTGTGGTATTTAAGACAAGAGGATTCTAGAAATGACTTTTAAAATAAATGTGAAGAAATGAGTCAAATACCTGCAAAATAGCACTGGGATAAGGACCCTTCTGGACCTGCTGCGTGAATTCACAACCAGCAAAGTTCTCTGGGGTCGCTGGGGTGACATCACGACCTCCAACTTGCTTAAACTGAAGCACCTGTAGTGGGAATGAGAGAGAATGATTGCACTTTCCTGCTGAATTACGTAACATTTAAGACCAATGGCTGTCAAATACCTCTAAGTAGACCTTTAACTAGTGCCCCACATTAATTCCCTTTACAAGAACCTTCAAGAAGTATTTTCATACCAATTCATATCAGTAATTTTAGAAAGCATTTTAATGTTATGAGATGATTTATAACTCATTCCCTAAATTATCTTTTAGTCCATGTATCATCTTGAAACAATACTATTATTTTGAAAAAAAACAAAAGCAATAAGGTCAAGTCAGAACCTTCTAGATCTCTGTCTTTTCAGCAGGCTTATATACAAAATACATTTCCAGCCTATCTAAAACTATCAGCCAAAGTCAACTTAAGCATAAAATTTGGTCACTTTATATGCACAAGACTAGCCTAAAATATTTACACATGCCGTATTCACACAAAGAAATCAATGTCCATTTGTAGGAACAGATTACAGGGGAGAAGTGATCAAAACATGAATCTCTACTCAAACGTGGGCAGTTCCAGACAACACAGTGAAGCAGGTGGAAAGACTGCCCCTGGGAAGCTGCCTCAGTCTCATCCCCCAATTCACACACACCAAGCATTGTTGCCTGCTGGACACTGCCACATCCACTCCACCCAGATATTTGCGGAATCCAGGGGGCACTGCAGAACCCTCCTCGGGGCCAAGGGTAAGGAGGGAATGATTTAAGTCAGTTGGTGTTAGGGCCTGCTAAGGCAGAGGCAGTCTTGGCCAGTCAGTTGGTGGTTTCTGGTCTGAAGGGAAAGGGTTGGGATTTGTGAGGCTTTTCCCTGCTCTTCAAGGCATACATCAAGAATCAGCCCTTAAGGCATGCGGATCTGGCTGAAGAGCCCATGAGAGTATTTCAGGCATGGAAAGCAAAGACACTCTGGCAAAAAAAATAAAATTAAATTAAATTAAATTTAAAAAATGACCTAAATGAAAGATCTCTGTGAGTGAGATCCCACTAGAAAGAACGGGCCATCAAAGAAGGAGGTACCTTTCTCTGAAGGGAGGAGAGAACTTCCACTTTGACTATGGCGTTGTCTAAATATGATCAGAGTTGGCGAACTCAAGAGGCTTCCATAGCCTTGGCAGCTCATGACAAGACCCTCGGGTGATTACTGACGTCGTAAATAAGAGTGTTTATTGTTAAATCAACAACAGGAGTGCACTTACTCCCCAGGTAGGATCTCTGTCCTTAATGTGTTCTATTATGTGAATTAACAGTATAACTAGTACTCAAACAGTACTTTATACTTTGTGTTTCTGTGTGGGTGCAAACTGTTGAAATCTTTATTTAGTATATACTAAGTTGATCTTCTGTATATAAAGATAAATGAAAGTGAATCTTGATGAAGAATGGGATAGGAGAGGGAGTGGGAGATGGGATGGTTTTGAGTTGGAGGGTGGTTATAGGGGGAAAACCGATATAATCCAAAAGTTGTATTTTGGAAATTTGTATTTATTTAATATAAAAGTTAAAAAAAAAAACAAAGTAAAAAAAAAGAATCCTGCCTAATACTCTATGAAACGAAGTGGTTCCACTCTGCTCACATACAAGCAAAGAATATTTTCTATAAAACTTCTCTGTTTTTCCTCCCTTCCTAGAAAACTGACCCTTAAGTCAGCACCCCAGGACTGACTCCATTGCAAAAACTCCTTTGGGAAAGTGTCTCTGCAAGAATGGAGAAGTTGAGGGGACCCTGGGCCATGCTGAGGCCACAGAGAAAATAGCAAGGCAGGCAGGGACAATGTCCAAACCAAAAAATATATATCAACAGCAACAACAAAAGCTAGCAAAAGTATTCCTTGCCAGCACACTAATTTCATATGCCCTGTGCTCTCTAGGACCGTATGCCTTCTGTTTAGTCCTTTCTTTCACCACAACTACACTTAAACTGCTTCTCACAGCTACACCAATTCCCAACCACGTGCCCCTTCTGGTCCAAATTTCCTGATCTGTGAAATGAGTATAATAGTCATAGCACCTACATCAAAGGATTCCGTATTATGCAAGTAAACTATTCAAAGGTTCTCATAAAGGTGGCCACTAGTAAGTGCTTTACACGCTATCTCTGATCTTCACAGCCATCTGGAAATTTCTGAATTTTTATTTGCCTTTTATAGATGAGAACACTGAGGCTCAGGGGATTTGTATACCTTCATCCACATGCTTAGTAAGCGGCACGGCCATGACTCAAACACAGAAGGGTCTGTACCCAATGCCCATGCATCTTCCTCCCATCCAAGAAACTTCTCTTTATCTTTAGTTGGAAAGCAATCAAATTCATATTTGAAATGTAAAATGTGTATATAGTCCTAAGGAGTTCAAGCCCTTTCTGGAAACAGAGATCAGTCTTGTGTCCAGAGTAATCAGTAAATTAATTTGTCTATGGTATAAAAATCAAAGTCTTTACTTTAATAACACATAGCACTTCCTTTAGCATTTGCCTCAAAATTCATTGCTCTGGTTCCTTTAAAAAATTAAGACTCACATGTTTCCTAAAGTTTTCAATGCAGCTCACTACATTTTTTTTTAAGACAGAGAAGATAAAGGGGAAGGAATGTTGCAAAAGACTGCTGGTATCAGGGTTGAGCAATTGAGTTTTGCTGTAAGCTTCAGTGTTCAAACAGGCACCAGCACACAGTGTAATTCATCCATCCCTGTCCTCCTGCAGTGAGATTGGCCAACATTCTCTCTTCGAAACTTCAGAACTCAAAGAAGGCCAACCTTAAATGGTCACTATGTCTCTAGGAAGGTCAGATTTATACTCAGATAAAATTCTCATGGGAAACGGAAAAAGCCAGCGGCATTTTGGTGTGACTGAAAGCACACTACAGCTTTGTTCTTAAAGCATTCGATTTTAGTGTGTGTATGTATGGGTATGTGAAGGAATTTTAATTACATGATGACCATGTCTAGGTCATTGACCTAAGAAACTGCAGGATAATGATAATTTTACAGGTGCAAAAAGAATCTCTGAGGAATATTGCAGTGTGCAATTGCAGAATTTCAACCCAATTTCAAGCCCCTAGTGGAAAGAGCACCCTAAATGAAGCTCTCCAAAGTAGGAAAGATGGAAGGAAGGAAGGAAGGAAGGAAGGAAGGAAGGAAGGAAGGAAGGAAGGAAGGGAGGGAGGGAGGGAGGGAGGGAGGGAGGGAGGAAGGAAGGAAGGAAGAGAGAGAGTCAGTGAGGGGAGGAGACCTGGATGCAGAAATACCTCAAATGCTACCCTGCACCCTGTCCAGCTTGATTCTGAAGACTGGCCACACATAATGCTGGGCCCCACCTTGTGGATGTGACCTTACATGCTTGATGGATAGAGGTTCTCTAAAGTGGTATCTAGTCGTGTATCTCTGAATATGGTAACCACAGTTCTAGTACATTGTTTCTCCTTGTCACCCTCTCTAAAACCATTAGGGAAAATTCTTTATATGGATGGGAAACAAACACAACAGGTGGCAGAATGATGGAGAGTCTGAGTTAGGAGGTAAGAAATGGTGCTGACTTCATCACACTTGCCACTGTTCTCATCTATAAAATGACATTTGTCTTAAAACCAAAAGAGATAATGTGATGCAGAACACTAACTTTGGGAAGTTTGAACATTATGGATGAGTATATTATTAAAATATAAGAAGATGTCATTGCAATTAATTCTACCCTTTCAGGAGAATACACTCCAATGTGTCTTCTGTGATCTACAATTGAGTGTTTTCATGGTGGCTGTTTTGCAAATTTGAGTCTAAGAAATCCATGTTAAAACAGTTTGTGTCTTATTAGCATGTGATGATCACTACCTTCTTATAGTTAACACAAGCTGGACATAAAACAAAAGGAATTCCACAATTCCATTCCAAAATCATCTGTCCTAACGTTGAGAATAACACAGACTTGCCTTGGCCATCTGGTCTTCAGTGCTGCCCCTGGAACCCAGGTAGACCATGGCCATGGTGGATGAGATACTCCATGGAGAGAAGAAGAGGTTCTGGGTGGGGTTTGCTTTTGCCAGATGCTTGAAGAAATTGAGGGCAAAAATTGTGTTCGCAACATAAAGATCTTCCATTGTATCAACCTAGAGGGAAAGCAATAAAAGAAATCTTGGATGAGTTCAGTAGAGTAGGACAAGCTATACTCTGCCCAGGTAGGGTTTCCTTCCCTGTTCTCCCCATGGAACAAAGAAAGCAGGGACAGCTTCATGCTCCTGAGACCTGTTCAGTCACAAAGCTCTCAGGCTTGAATTTGAAATTCTCAATATTTTAAACAATATTTTAACAAGGGCTTCCATGTTTTCGTTTTGCATGCTGTAAATCACATAGCCAATCCTGAGGTATAGAGATAAGTTCAATGATAAGCATTGACACTTTATGTCACTGCAAATATGAAAATGGCAACAGCACTAACAATAGTGTTTATTGAGTTCTTATTGTCTAACGGTTGCTGACATAAACACTTTAGCTTTACTAACCATTTTATATTCACTAAACCCAGTGAGTAAGGCACTGCTATCTCTGTTTTACAAAGGAAGAGACAGTTGTATAGAAAGATTCAAGAAAGAGATCATTGCCACTCAGCTGTAAGGTGTAGGAGTAGGAACTGAAGACAGGTAAGCAGCCTCTGGGGTCAGGCTTGCAATCTCTTGCTGCACCCGTAACTACACTGCAAACACCCACATATAGTATAATCCCACACACACACAGGAAAGCGCACACTAATTCACTTATTCAGATGTGTGCCACATGCATGCCTATTCTTGTCAGCTCCAGGTGAGACAAACAATCTTTTCAGCTCTCTGCTTATAGAAGTCACTCAGACTCATTGTTTCAGGGTTGGTACTTTCGCTCAGCCTCTACTCATGCCTTTTCCATACCACAAATACCACAGACTTGCTACATACAAAGTACTTCCTGTGCTAGTGAATTCATTCATGGGAATACTGGAAGGGATTCTTTCTCTGACACAATCCCCAGTGGGGAAATCAATTCCAGGCAAGAACACAAAGATAATCTAAGGTAGATGAAACATACATGTATACCCAGTTTATCAACCTCCAGAAAATAAATGACAGACATGTCTACCACAACCAAAGGCTATGTATAAAGGTGAATCTTTGGACACACTCAAGGTGTGTGTGCGTGTGTCTGTCCTCATGGTACTGGCAAATGATCATTTTTCCAACTGTTTTGCCTTCCTCATGGCTTAAAACACACCCTATAATTATAAAAGTACACCAAACAACACTGACAGTCATCCCTCTGTGACAATGGTTTCCAGAATGGGGGAAGAGCTGGGAAAGTTGTCTGGTTGCCTACAGTGGCCTCATACAGTAGACCTTGTTTCTCGACCATGTGGGTGTCTTGTGTAAACCCTTACTTCTTAAAATACTTTTCTTAAGGAAGTTATTGGAATTTGTATCAAAATTTCTCATTTGAAACACAACTCAACTGAATTCTATCAAGACAATAATAGTAAATTGAATAAAATGCATTCCTGCAACTCTCACCTCCTTTTTGCCCTCATTTAATCTTTGTAGGAACAGTGCAAAGGAGGTATGATTATCTCTATTTTATAGATAATATTCTGATGCACCTAAGTGTTAAATAACTTATACAAGGTCACACAGCTCCTATGTATAGTGCAGGCATTCAAGCTCACATCACATTTTGGAAGCCCACTTTTTCCCACGTCCCTACACTTGCTTGTGTATATCCTCACTACAGTATGTAAGAATTTGAGCAAGTTACAGCTTCAGAAATGTCAGAAAGGGGAAATACAAGAGGACAGTAGCCAGTAAGTAATGCTGTAATAGGCTTATTAAGTTAAAAACAAGTTACTGTTTTTTTTCTTTTCTTCCTGACTTCATCAGAGAAACTAGATTCATTAAGGTAGTTCAGAAACTCCTTTCTTCTACCAACTTAAAATTGTTTTTATAAATAGACTTGTTGTATAGGTTTTAAAAATAGATTGTCTCAGTACTATTTGGAAACAAGCTAAAGGGTATAAAATATTTCTCTATACTTGTGTGGAAATATAAGTCAGAAAAGTAAATTGAAACTTCTGCATCTAATTCTAATAATCTGCATTGTCAGTCACTTTGACATGACAAAATTTAAATGTCAACACAAATTATTAGAAGGGCTTTTTAAAGTTAGGGTTTCAGGTAACTTGAAAAAGAAAAAAAAATTCAAGTTAAACAATGAAATTGTCCCACATGAACTTACTTCTTTTAAAAATAGTCTGAATTTATTTTTTTAAATGAAGTACTATTAATCACACTTAACATAAAAATGGCATTTGGTGCCTCTAGCGCAGTTAAAAGTTCCTTTCAATACCTTTGTTTAATTTGCATAATGATTTTTCCAGTAAACTTGGTAATTCCTATTAGATGAATGAAAACACGAAGCTGGAGATGGCACTGCTATCTTAGTTAACTAGTTAGTCTCAGAACCTAGGCTGGATCCTAGCCTTCAACACCAAGTCTAGTGCTTTTTCTACCAACTTTTCAAACAAAGTATGAGATGTTCACAATTTTAGAAAGCTATGAAGGTACTTTCTGACCATTAGACAAGTCCATGCCTTGTGTTTGGATAAGAATCTGTCAAAACAATGGGAAATTGAAGTCAGGGGATGACGTCAAATAATTGTCAGATCAGATACACATTTGTTGTGAATTCCTTAACATGATAGTAAGTTACACAATTTCAGCATGTCCCTAATTGATGTATAACACTTTAATATCCTTGAGATAAATGAATAGAAAACATAGGCGGGGCTAGGCTTCTGATGTGGTATTGGTTCCTGCAATACAAGTTGACGAATGCAATACTGAAACTTGGCACAGGCAATGAAACACTGGGGAGGTGCCACTGGGCACACAACCACAGTCCATCTTCTCACTGTCCCTGGTTCTTAGATTGGGGCTTACTGTCACATTTAAAGCAATTCCATTTCTGTAACTACACAGTGCAAATATCTTGAAATTGATCACAAAAATCAGCAAGAACAAAGATGAAACAATAGTTTCAAAGAAACTCATTAAAAACTGCCACAATTTTCTCCACAAAGTTAAAAGCAGTTTCTTTTAGTTGCTGACACACATAATGATTAAGTGTCTCTATACAGCACATTAAAATCACTTACTGAGCTGTACTTCAGTCAGTTCAAGCAGAAGTGAAGCTGATTTTCCTCTCATTAAACTGACCCATTATCCAACTGAATACATGAATGCATTCTTGTACTCGATTGACCCAACCCAAGTTTGCTTCCTAATTTATGCAGTTTCTGGTTGTTCATTTTAAATGACAATTGAGATTTTTTTCCTTTTATTTATAGAAAAATTATAAGTTACTTTAAATTGCTTAAATGGAAATATTTTAATTTATGTAACTATCTCCACGAAATTCAGTGTCAGAATGGCAACTAAGATTATGTATATTCTAACATTTTTGTAACACCGACACCTTGAATGAACACACATTTTGGCTTGGTTAATGGCATAGAGGTATTTGCTCACTTCTGAGATTCACAATTACATTTTACCACACATTTAGTTTTACCTCGAACTAAAATATTTGCAGTAAACTACTAAACAAGAAAACACCATTCAAGTTCTACTAACCCCCTACAAACACCTCACGTCTTAATTTTCTATATAATGTTAATACCAGCATGAAAGAAGAACAAAAAATAAAGCCACATTTTCCATAGAGATGGCTGAAATACCTTGTGATTCTCTGGGTTGCTGTCTGACTGGAAATGCTCCTCTGAGAGTTGTTACAGCCCTGACATGGTAATGACTGCTTTTATAACACTGTGCCCCTCCCACACAGCACTTTTTTCTCTCTCTTTTTAATCTGTATCCTTTGAGTGATTCAACAGTTTACTCAGAAGGACATCATTAGAGTAGAAATGATTGTCTGTAAAGGCACAGTTTGGGAAATACACTGGGCAGATGACTTCACCTAGAAACTTGAGAATTTGGAAATGAGATCTACACATGCTTGTCAAAATGAACTAAAACCTATCAGCCCCAGTCTCAAGTCTTCCTGCTCCAACTGCATTCAATGATAGTATCAGATTCCAGCATGGTCCTTGTACCTGTGCACAGCCGCAGCCCCTGGGCTGAAGGGAACTTATAAAGCCAATGAGTTAAACTCTGGTTCCTCTTCATATCTTATAAATCTTTTGCCTTTTAAAGACAATGAGAGCCTTCTTGTTTTGAAGCATGCAGATCCAAGTGACCCTTTGGGCATGGGAATGAAATGAAATCCACTGTTTCTGTTTCTTACAAATTCTCTATTTCAAAATATCCTATATTTTCTCTAGTTATAATATCGTAAGCAATTCTGGGTTCCATCTTAATCTCCTGTCAAAAACCACAACGGAAGAGTTTCTCATTTGCCCTGATTAGAACATAGATCCTATCTCAAACGGTACTAATTCACTTTTTACTTTAAGTTGATTTATAATTCTAGACAAATAACACATGTTGATTGGAAATGTCAAAACCATGACAGAGAAAATCACTAGACTTTTAGGTACAAGCAATGTAATTTGGAGATAAAATTAAACAAGAGATATCCCTAACTAAATATAACCATAAGAAGACATTCATGTGGTTAATGCTCATTGGAATGTGTCTTTGAAACATCATAAAACCGCCTCTATTCTCTTTACTTTTACACACAGGTAATTTCCAAGGTTGAGTTAAGAGAGGAAGGAAAGACACCGTGTTTCTTCTGGACTGTGCAGCAGGCTGGGTACCCAATCCTGGAGAACTAAACTGACAGTCGGAGTTGTCGGTTAAGCCAACACAGTGGATTGGGGCCCTGCCTGAACTTCTCAGCACGCTGTGGTCCACAGCACTGGATTGATTCTTACTTTGTCTCACAGTTGTGAGACTCTGGTCACAAAGGAGTTGGTGACTTAATGAAATCCCTTGTTCTTTTTAGAGAAATAGAGGTATAGGCACATCTTTGATAATCTGTGTTGAGCAGTAAAAAACTACATTATTTTGTGTATTTATTGCTAGATGATCTTAGGCCACGTATAGAAAACCTGGAAGCTCACTCCCAACAATGACCTTTCAAACCACTCAATTGTTCTTTGGATTGAAGGAAAGTTTTATGTAGCCACTGAGCCATTTAACAACTTTTAACTCCCCACTAATCCAAATCTGTGAGGTTCTATTTATGTCCTGTACTTCCCTGAAGTCCACACTGCCTCTCACAACTCTCGGTGAACTGCAATATTTAGAGCTGAGTTTACAACATATTAATTTTGGTCTTTCTGAGTGAAGCTTTAGGTAATAAAGCAGCAAGAACGGTACTGAGTATTGAGTGCATTCTTGCTAAATATTTTTGATAAATCAGATAAAATGCCAAAATTCTATAGAAAGGTCCTATAGTGTGGTGGGCAAGGATGTGGATTCTCAAAGATTTAGAAATTCCGGTTCAAATCCTCTTTTTGCCACTTACTAGTCATATAAGCTTGCCCATTTTTTCTCACCCTCTCTAACCTTTATTTCCTAACAATGCTACAGAACAAGTACCGTTGATTTCCTAAACCAAAGTAATCCCCTTCTGTCATACTCCTTCCTGAATTTGTTCAGGTATTATTCACGGATTACTCAGTCTCCGAGAAGGAGGGCCCAGCTGATTATCTGGGGACTACACATAGAAACCCAGTTCCGTGAAAAGCCTCTTTGGAAATATCTTAGGAATGCTTTTCTCCTTCATAAGAAGGAAGCATACAAGGGGAACCTCCTTATCCTATGCTATCTCCTCTTATCTGACTTACAGCATGTTTGTATGAGGACGTGATGTTCGAAGATGCAATAGCCAGGCGGACAGGAAGGTTAAGAAATGTGCAGATAGCAAAATACATCACTGATATAAGAGGACCTAAGCCAGTGCCAGAAACCACCTACTTCTAGTTTTTATTTTTATTGTTGCTACTTTAGATATAATAAATAATAAGTTGATATTGTTTTAGCCTTGTTAGGCAACTTGGGTCTCCTGTCATTTGTAGTCAAAAGCATTCCTAAATAACACAGACTTTGTGAAGAACCTGTGACATAATGTCTGTCTAGTACATCACAGATTGTCATTCAGATAGTAATTGCTCCATAGTATTAGCTAGTATAACAGAGTGGCTGTAGGTGGCCAGGTTTGGGAGTTGCCTTCCTGCCTAGATTAGAGCAATTTCTCAAGTTCACAAGTCAGAGAGGGGCTGGCACTGTGATATAGCGAGTAAAGCCACTGCCTGTGACCCCAGCATCCTTTAATTGTGCCTGTTCATATCCCACCTGCTCCACTGCCAATCCAACTCCCTGCTAATGGCCTGAGAAAAGTGTTTGTGTCCCTGCTACCCACATGGGAGACACAGATGAAACTCCTGACTCCTGGCTTGATCCAGGCCCAACTCCTTGCCATTGTGGCCATCTAGAGTGAACCAGCACATCGAAGATTTCTTTTTATCTGTGTCTTCCTCTCATTCTGTAACTCTTTCAAATAAGTAAATTAAAAATCTTAAAAAATAAAAAAACACAAAAACTGTAGATGGAGCAGGTGCTGTGGCACAGTGGGTTAAAGCCCCGGCTCGCCAGTTCAAGTCCCAGCTGCTCCTCTTCTGATCCAGCTCTCTGCTATGGCTTGGGAAAGCAGTGGAAGATGGTCCAAGTTCTTGGATCCCCTGCATCCACGTGGGAGACCTGGAAGAAGCTCCTGACTTCCAATCAATTCACCTCTGGCCGTTGTGGTAATTTGGGGAGTGAAACAGCAGGTGGGAAACCTTTTTCTCTCTGTAACTCTTTCAAATAAAAAGAAATCATTTAAAAAACTATAGCTAGAGAAAGAAGCAAAGGACAACATATAAAAAAGCAGCAAACTGAGAAGTACAAATCATGAAATCATAGGAAAGAGGGGAAAGAATTGATAACATGTATTAGGGCTTTGAGGAAAGGGTGGAGATAAGTGAAAGGAAGGAAAGAAAGGAAAAGGCACTGAAATCACAGGGGTTGCAAGCAGAGATAGACATTGCACACCTTCCTGAGGGCTGCCTGGGGCAGAGTTGGCGTTACAGGTGATGTAGAGAGGAATGGAAGGAGACAGAAATGTGGAGAAGACTCTGGACCCACACTGAATTAACTATTAAGAAGGGAACTAATAAAACGTGTTGTTACAGAAGAGGAAGAACTCCAAGAGGGGAGATCTATTAGGAGACCCAGCTATAGGAGAAAGAACACAGCCACTACAAACTGTTCGTGACCACTGAAAGATAAATAGGATTAAGTTCTCTTAAACAACCTGAAATATTACATACCACAGCTTTAGAAAAGATCACATCTTTGGAAGCTCCTCTTCTATGAAAATGTGCATGATATACTCATAAGAGGAGAAAGGAAACATATATTATGATCTCTTCTAAATGAGTAAAATATGTACAGAAATATTTTAAAGTATAAACCGTGTTTATTGCTGGGTCGTAACTTTACATATATTTGTCATTTTTCCCTTTTTACTACAGAGATTTCTCATGGGTTTTCTAAAAGAGATGCATTACTTTTTTTAGATTTATTTATTTGACAGGTAGAGTTATAGACAGTGAGAGAGAGAGAGAGAGAGAGAGAGAGAGAGAGAGAAAGGTCTCCCTTCCATTGGTTCACTCCCCAAATGGCCGCCACAGCCGGCGCTGCACCAATCCGAAGCTAGGAGCCAGGTGCTTCTCCTGGTCTCTCATGCCAGTGGAGGGACCCAAGCACTTGGGTCATCCTCCACTGTCTTCCCGGGCCACAGCAGAGAGCTGGACTGGAAGAGGAGCAACCAGGACAGACCCTGGCGCCCCAACAGGGAATAGAACCTGGAGTGCCGGTGCTGCAGGTGGAGGATTAGCCTAGTGAACTGAGGCGCTGGCCCTGAGATGCATTACTTTTAAGGTAAGAAATACACCATCAAAGTATCTGTTTTGAGATGTTTTTTCCTCTCCCCTCTAGGGCTACAAAGAATCATGTATAAAGGAGAAATAATGTCAAAAGAAGAAAAGCAACTTCATGCATAAAGTTATAAAATTCTGATTGGGAGACTTGAATACACTGTGCTTTTCTCTTAAACATCTGTACAGTGGTTACTAAATAGTCTGTTTGGTTAACTACTCCATGTTAGATAGTAACAAATATAACTTACTCAACCATGACATTCATTTCCAAAGGCTAGGGTAAGTTCTTGGCTCATATTAAGTGTTCACTGTTTACTATATAAATTTTATGTTCAGCATGTTGCAATGCATTAGTATTCTTTCCTCTACTTTGAGTGAGCATCCACTGGCAGTTCTATAATTACTTATGGTTTGCTGATAGATGAGGAATATATGAATCAGGAAAATATATCTGGGGCCAGCGCTGTGGTGTAGTGGGTAAAGCCACCTCCTGCAGTGCCAGCATCCCTTATGGGCTCCAGTTCGAGTCCTGGCTGCTCCACTTCTGATCCAGCTCTCTGCTGTGGCCTAGGAAAACAATGGAAGATGGCCCAAGTCCTTGGGCCCCTGTAACCCACATGGCAGACCCGGAAGAAGCTCCTGGCTCCTGGCTTTGGATCGGCACAGCTCCAGCCACTTCAGCCAACTGAGGAGTGAACCAGAGAATGGAAATCCTTTCTCTCTCTCTCTCTCTCTCTCTCTCTCTCTCTCTGCCTCTCCTTCTCTCTCTGTGTAACTCTTTCAAGTAAAATAAAATAAATCTTTATATATATATATATATGTATATATGATTTCTACATTGGTAATACCATTCAAATTATCCAAAACATGATACAATTGTAGGTCTAAAAGGAAGTTCTGTTTTTACATAAAATAATC